CAGGTCGAGGCTGCGGTGGCCGGGAGCGGCCAATGCACTCCAGTCTGGGCGACTGAGTGAGACTCCAACTCAAAAAAGAAAAGAGCTCCTAGCACAGATCTATATCTTGCTCAGTAAGTAACTATTTTTATATCACCACACCTGAGCCAGCCCATGATAGGTGCTCAGATAATGACCTGGAACCCACGAATGCATGAATGCTTGAGATGCAGGGGTGGAGGAGGTGGCTGCCCACCAAAGCAATCCGTGTCAGAGCCTCTTGTCCCCGACCTGCCATGTGTCCGCGGCTGGGCCCGATGGAGCCCTCGTGGGGTCACCTTCCCTCTCCTGGCTCTTCCCACCAGGCTGCAGCCTCTTCGCATGTATTCTGTGTGTCTGCTGGTTGAACTGGTCACGCTTGCTCCCTGGGGACCTGTCTGGGAAGTGCCCAAATTCCGCTGGGATAACTGCCGGCAGGCCTGGTGGACAAACTTGCTGCTTTTAAACAACTTCCTGTCTCTCCGGAATGCGGTGAGTCTCGGGTTGTTGGCTTTGAAGGGGCAGATGGGTGCAAATCTGGTGTCTTGCTTCACACACTGGATGAACCTTCCACCGGCCAGCCTGAGTCCAAGCCCTTCTCTTCCGGCATGTTCTCAGGAGTCAGAGTGACGCCGTAGGAAGGTGGACTGTGGGTTGGGACACTAGCCTCTTGTCACAGGATGGGTGTAACCACACCAGTGTCCACAGCGGGCCACCGCTGTGAACAGCAGAGAGAGGGCAACAGCCGTGGCCAGCGATGGCTCGCAATCCTGGTGCCCGTCCCAGAGGCCGCTGACCCTGCCCCATCTCAGCTCCTGGGCCAGTTCATGTCGCCCCACAGGGAGAGGACGTTTTCTTCATGTCTGCATGGAGAGCCTATTCTGGGATGAGACGTTGACCCCGCCCTCACCATACTGAATTCTACTAAGTTCAAGCCAGACTTGACCTAGTTGGTTCAGAGCAATAAGATCTGGGTTTTTTTTTTTGAGTTGGAGTCTCACTCTGTCACTCAGGCTGGGGTGCAGTGGCATGCTCAGAGCCACCACAGCTTTGACCTGTTGGGCTCAGGCGATCCTTCTGCTTCATTCCCAGTAGCTGGAGCTACAGGTGTATACCACCTTGCCCTGCTAATTTTTTTTTTAATTGTAGAGACGAGGTCTCGCCATGTTGCCCAGGCTGGTCTCAAACCCTTGGGCTCAGGCAATCCGCCTGCCAAAGTGCTGGGATGACAGGCGTGAGCCACCGTGCCCAGTCACAGTAAGATCTGTGTATGGGGTTTTCCCCCAAGCACCAGCTTCCTCATGATGAACTCACAGCAAATGAAAGCGAAACCATTTTAATTAAACCCTGTCCCCAACTCCACATATGCCTCAAAATCAAGGTTGAGAAGGTAATCACCAAAGCATGGTGGGGCCTAATTATTGCTTACAACAGTTCACCAACCAGACGCTGTCTTCTGTCTGCAACCTGCCGTAGTGTCCACAGCCCTGTTCAGCTAATTGCTTGCAGGTGGGACCCCTCTCAGAGGACCTGTCTGGAACAAGGGTCCTGGGGGACAGTCGGGGCTGTTTTCGTGAATACAGGCAGACTTGGGTCACTCGTGGAAATGAGTGGCCAGGACTGGAGCCAACCGCCTTTTTGAGGTAAAGCCAGCCTGAGGCCCTTGAAAGCAGAGGCACCAGGGCCCTGAAGCCCTGGAGAGAATTGTCCCCAGGAATTTCCTCTCCTTGAAGAAAAAAATAGTGGTAACTGCCCTTTTGGCACAAGCATAGACAGTCTGTGAAACTGTGTGGCTTTGTCCAGATGATCCCATGTAGATCACACGAGAAAAGACTGGGATTCCCCACAAAAGTTTATCTGGAGTTGGGCCTTGGTTCTAAAAGAACTCATTCTCTCCCCAAGGAGTTGGGAGGAGATCAGGCAAAGGAAAGAGACCAGCACTGACCCCTCTGAGTTCCAGTTGCACCCCAGTGATCACAAAAATCCTGCATTCTTGGAACGGGAAGGAGTTGAGTCCCCACAACTGTCCTGGGAGATGACATTATTATTATTATTAATATTGATTTTTGAGTCAGAGTGTAACTCCGTTGCCCAGGCTGGAGTGCAGTGGCACGCTCATGGCCACCCCAACGTCGACCTGCTGGGCTCTGGCAACCCTTCCAAGTAACTGGAACTATAGGCGTGCACTATCACACCTGGCTAATTTTTGATTTATGGTAGAGATGAGGTCTTGCCAAGTTGCCCGGTTGGTCTCGAACCCGCGGGGTCAGGCAATCCACTCGCCTCGGCCTCCCAAAGTGCTGGGATGACAGGCTTGAGCCACCACGTCCGTCCGGTTATTATTTTTAACAAAAGAGAAAACTTGTCTGAATCTCCATTTTGCAAAACGGTAATAATGATACCCGCCATCCAGACTTGTTACAAGGATCCGTGGGATGAGGCTTCTCTCTAACTCACGTGTCCTTTGCCTTCCCGTGGAAATACTCTCCTACACCACCTCCTGAATTTTTTCTCCTGGTTCAGGCAGGTAGACGACGTAAGGCTACCTGGTGAATGAAGGAGGAAGTAACCTTTGCTGTTGTCTTTTCAGTGCAATGGCTGGACATGGTACCTTGCCAATGACTTCCAGTTCCATCTCACTACACCAGCGATCATCTTTATCCATGAAAAGTGAGTCTGACTGAGACAAACTGGTCTCCCCATGAAACCTCTTCCACAAAACCTTTAGAAAGTGCCCAGGTTCTGTGCCGATCGGCTTTTTAAAATTTGAGAAATTAAGGCCAGCTGCAGTGGCTCACACTTATGATCCCAGTACTTAGGGAGGCAGAGGCAGGAGGACTACTTGAGCCCAGGAGTTCGAGATCAGCCTGGGCAACATAGCGAGACTTTGTCTCCACAGAAACATTAAAAAGTTAGCCAGGCATAGTGGCGTGTGCCTGTCGTCCCAGCTACTCAGGAGGCTGAGGTGGGAGGACCGTCGAAGCCCAGGTGTTTGAGGCTGCGGTGAGTCATTATTGTATTCCAGCCTGAGTGACAGAGTGAGACCTTGACTCAGAATAAGCAAACACAATTGAAAAAAGAAATTGAGGGAGTTTTCAGGAAAGTTTGCACCAAATCCTCTACTATATTTTCTTCCACGTGATCTCCCAATGTTTGTCCTACACAAGTCGTATGTGTTTTGCGGCAATATAATCGGTGTATGTATAATATCCAGTGCCCAGCCTTTTCTATCTACCTGTCCTTAGCATTTCCACCTATTGGCACAACCTGCCTTCCTGCCAGTTGCAGGATTTAGATACCATTTTTATGATGGGTCATCTAGATGGTGTGCAATTTTTCATGATTATAAATGACTCCACCACGAACATCTTTGAATACACGACTTTTTCTCTCAGTTATTTCCTCGGGGGCAGATTTCCAAGTGGAATTACAAGGTCAAAGGGTAGGAACAGTTCGGTGTCGCTTGTTACCTATCGTGAGATTGCTCTCTGGAAAGAGTGAGGAAATTTACAGCGTTCTCGGCAATACATCAGCAGACCTGCTTTTTCCCACTGGATATTTATCACCTTAATTTTTGCTAGTTTTAGGAAGGCTGGGAGGCCTCAATAATTCATGGAGAGACTTACAGTTTGTGGATTATTCATGCCATATTTTAAAAGATTTATTATTCTTTTTTGTTAAAATATACGTTCCATTTAAGCAATACTGGAAAACATTAAGAGCAAAAGAGAAGAAAACAATCACCCCCATTTCACTTTGTTACTCAAGGCGAATTCACCACTCACATTTTTACTGCTTTTTATCCTCCTGATATTTTTTCTGCCAGCTTTTTTTTTTTTTTTTTTTAAAGATGGCGGTCTCACTCTGTTGCCCCGGTTGGAGTGTGGTGGTATGATCATAGCTCATGGTAATCTCAAATTTTGGGCTCAAGAGATCCTCCTGCCTCAGCCTGGGACTACGGGCGTGCCACCATGCCCAGGTAATTTAAAAACCTTTTTTTAGAGATGGGGTGTCACTCTCTTGTCCAGGCTGGAGTGCAATGGTGTGATCATAACTTACTATAGACTTGAACCCCTGGGCTCAAGTGATCGTCTTGGCTCGGCCTCCTGAAACACTGGGACTATATATGTGCACCACACCTGGCTAATGTAAAAACATTTTTTAGAGATGGGGTCTTGCTATGTTGCCCAGGCTCTGTCCAGCTTTAGATAACTGAAAGCACGCTGTGCATACACTTCAGCATCTTTCTTCTAATAGTTTTATGACATATGCATTTCCCTGTGATATAAAAGTAAACATAGTTTGTTTTTTTTTGAGTCGGAGTCTCACCCCGTTGCCCAGACTGGAGTGCAGTGGCCGCTCCCGGCCACCGCAGCCTCGACCTGTGGGGCTCCGGCGATCCTTCCGCCTCAGCCTTCCGAGTAGCCGGAATTACAGGCATGCACTACCACGCCCGGCTGATTTTTTGATTTATTGTAGAGATGAGGTCTCGCTGCCCAGGCGGGTCTCGAACCCGCGGGCTCAGGCAATCCATTCACCTCAGCCTCCTAAAGGCGCGGGATAACAAGCTAAGCCACCGAGCCTGGCTAAAGTAAACATAGTTTTAATGTCTGCATAACATTGCATTCCATGAATGAACTATAACTTACACCGTCTCTATTGTTGAGGACTTGGATTATTTCCAGTTTTATGTTTTCACAAAATAATGGTCTGATAAGCATTTTCATGGAGATCATTGCTCTCCAACTTCAATGTTTCTTTAGAATATAAATCCTTGAGAGGAATTACTGGGTCAAAGGGCAAGAATGCCCTTTGGGCTCTTGAATCATAATGATAAATTACTTTATTTAAAGAGTGAATCAATATTCAGTCTTCTAGCCGTCTAATTTAACTCTTGCCAGTATGGAATAGTAACAACAAAACAAAACAAGTTGCAAACCTGATTATTTGCATGTGTAAAAAGGATGATCTTTTGTATCTCACTTGTAAGTCTCTGATGGCTAGGAGAAGGGCTGCATTCCTGATATGTGTTGACCTGCTCTGTCTCCACTTCATGGTTACCTGTTCGTGACCTTGACATTTAAAACTCAGCCTGACCCGTGATGCTGTCCATCCCAGCCATGCAGATATCCTGGGCAAGGGAGGAGCATCCTAATTTTAATTGAATTCAAGAAATGAACATTTTTTTATTTTTTAGAAAGGCAAATCTGCTTTTTTACATTCTTATCTTAAATACATGATACTTCCTAAATTCAAATATAAACGACTTTTGGACTGACCGTTAAAAAGAAATCATTCCATGACTTCTTTTCCACTAAGCACAGTGGTGGTTTACTGGTATAGTGAAGTTTGAATCATAAGACATGGGATCAGGCTGATCGTGGTGGCTCACACCTGTAATACCAGCACTTTAGGAGGCCGAGGTGAGAGGATTCCTTGAGCCCAGCAGTCTCATAACAGCCTGAACAACATAGTGAGACCTCATCTCTACAAAAAACAAAACAAAATTTAGCCAGGTCAGGTGGCAAACACCTGTAGTCCCAGCTACTCGGGAGGCTGAGGTGGAAGGATCGCCTGAGGCCAGGAGGTTGAGACTGGCAATGAGCTGTGATTGTGCCGCTGCACTACAGTCTGGGCAACAGAGTGAAACTCTGACCAAAAAAAGAAAGCAAGAAAGAGACAGAGAGAGAAAGGGAGAGGGAGAGAAAGAAAGGGAGAGGGAGGGGAAAAAAGAGAAAGAAAGGAAAGAAAAAGAAAGAAAGAAGGAAGGAATGAAAGAAAAAAAGAAAGAAAAAGAAAGAAAGGAAGAAAAAAGAAAGAAGGAAGGAAAGAAAAAGAAAGAAAGAAAGAAAAAGAAAGAAAAGAAGAAAAAAGAAGGGAAAGAAAGAAGGAAAGAAAAAAAGAAAGAAAGGAAGAAAAAAGACACGGGTTTAAGCCATAACTCTTAAATCACTAGCTAGGGGACCAAGGGTGAACTGCTGGACTCTTGTCTTCATTGTTCATGTCTCTGAAACGGGCACGACAACACTTCACATTGGCACTCACTGTTGGCAATGAGTAGCCCACATGCCAACTCAGTTTCCTGTCCTTTGAGCTTCTAGTGTAGCTGCCTCAGTCCCAGCCACCCGCCCCCAAGCGGCGAGACCCCCACCCTTCTGCAAGGATGGGGAGGGTGACTCGACAACCCACTGAGCTTCTGCTCAGGCAGGCCAGTTCTGGGTGGGCCAGCTTCTCTGTGACGTCCCGTTTCCACAGGGCACTGCCTCCTGTGTGCAAACCCAACCTCCGTCCTTGGTGTCCTGTCTGCTCACCCTTCTAGGAGGTGCTGGTGTGAAGTGGATTGTAGTGAAGACTGCCTGGATCGTAGGGGTTTTGCATTCTGCTTCAGCCCAGGCCCGTCTCTCCCATGCACCTTCTCTGAAGGGGAGGATGAGGTACAGACCAGGGACAAGTGCTGGGTGCTGGGGTGGCGCGTAGGGTGCCTACACATATAATAAATACCGTGGAAGGCGGGGTGAGGACCTTGGCTTTCCACATCCCCCAAAACAACAGCATCCTAATCTCATATCCTATTTGAGTGGAGGAGGAAGAGCAACTTTTTTTTTTTTGATCTGGAGTCTCACTCTGTTGCCCAGGCTGGAATGCAGTGGCCTGCTCATGGCCACCCACCCCAGCGTCAACCTGCTGGGCTCCTGCGATCCTTCCGCCTCACCCTTCCATGTAGCAGGAACTATGGGCACGTGCCACCGTATCCGGCTAATTTTTTTTTTAATTTAATTGTAGAGATGAGGTCTCACCATGTTGCCCTGGCTGATCTCGAACCCATGGGCTCAGGCAATCCTCCCACCTCGGCCTCCCAAAGCGCTGGGATGACAGGCTTGAGCCACCACGCCTGGCTGAAGAGCAACTTTTTATAGCAAAATAGAAGGGATAAAAGCACAAGATGGAAATGTGGAGATAAAATCTGATAGTCATGGTTCTATTTATTTGGGGAATCAAGATTTGTTTTTATAAGAAGCAAGCAAGCAAGCTCTGAACATCTTCTAGAAAGACCGACCATGCCATGTCTACTTATTCATGTCCACATTTCCCCAGAATGAAACCACAGAGAGTGGTGGGAATTATAAATTGGTGTGCTCCCCGCTTAACCCCATCACGGAATCAGGCATGGAAGGCTGGGAGTAGGAAAGGGTGCCTTAGGGATGCTGAGCAAAACTCCCCTGTGCGCCCTTTGCGCCCCTGGGTCCTGATCCCTTCTGCAGGTAGGAGACAGGCTCCCTGAGCAAGAGCTGAGAGACCCTTAGGTCCACTGGGGCTGACTTGGTTGCATGTTCCCTCCCCACAGAGCAGTCAACCCCTAAGAGCTCTCTCCAGGGAGGAGGAGGAGCAGATGGGACCGCAGAGCTGGGCTGGCCAGTTCTCTGGGGGAAGAAACCACGGCTCTGAACAGGTGTAGCTGCGTGAAGGACTCTGGGGCCCATGGCAAGTGCCTGCAGGTGCAGGCAGGCAGGTGTGAGGTCTCGCAGACCCCGCGGTCCTGCCAGAGCAGAAATGGCAAGCCGTGCAGCCTTCCTCAGTGGCAGTGTTTGGAGCCGATGCCCTGATTGCTGGTCCAGTTATGCATTGAGGAAGGGACACGAGAAACCCAGTGGGAGTCCCGGCCGGGACCTGGGAGCTGACAGAGGCCTAAGACACAGTCTGGGGTCTTTCAGGCCAGAGGGAGACACTGCCTGCTGTTCCTACCTCCTCTTGGGTGATGGCCCCCGAATGGGCCTTTCTGAGAGGAAAACACTCTTGAGAGAACAGGGGTGATGGTCAACGCTTGGAGTGCTGGTTCTTTCTTCACCCCATTGTCCTGGGAGTAGTTCCCCGAGAGAGCCAGAAAACACAACCTCCAACCTTCGCCACAGGCCATTTGTGCTGTGGCCAGAGGTCCTGATTAGTGGCTCAGGGGCTCAGGAGGACAGAGGGCAAATAGTCGGGAAAGCAGGCCTGTATCTTCTTCAACATTCACTACCTCCCTGTCTGGCTGTTTCGGTACCTTCATGTATGAACTTGCGAGTGCTGCCATAACAAAGCACCACAGACCGGGTGGCTTATACAACAGCACCCGATTTCCTCACAGTTCTGGAGAAGTCTGGGCTCAAGATGTTGGCAGGCTTGGTTTCTTTCAAAGCCACTCCCCTTGGCTTGCAGACGGCCATCTTCTCTCTGAGTCTCCACGCGCTCTTCCTTCTGTGTCCAAATGCTCTCTTTTTCTAAGGACACCAGTCCTATCGGATGAGGGGCTACCCCAAGGGTCTCGTTTAACCTCAGTTTTCTCCTTAAAGACCCCGTCTCCAAATAAAGTCACGTTCTGAGGTCCTGGAGATTAGGACTTCAACCTGTGACTTGGATGGGGACACAGTTCAGCTCATGACGCATGCGATCAGGAAGTTTTATGATTTAGCTGAGAAGGTGGTTAGCTACAGAGACTTGCAAAGTCTGTGGAGGACACTAATGAATCCTGAGGTGGGCGTCAGTGGCGCAAGTCCCCCAGGGACTTTAACACATATTTACTTGGATGTGGATGTGGGTTTTTATTGGATGACCTGACGGGGGTGGTTTACCACCCACCTGGGACACTGGGACAATGAGTTCTTAGTACTTCCCCACCCTAGACCTGGCTGGAAACACACTTGGGTGTCCTTGTGACTGAGGACCCTTGGTGCCAATGTCAGCATCTTTCCTAGAGGCTGTCATGGGAGGTGGGTTTCCTTTTTTTTTTTGAGTTGGAGTCTCACTCCTTTGCCCAGGCTGGAGTCCAGTGGCACACACGCTCATGGCCACCCCGGCGTTGACCTTCTGGACTTCAGCGATCCCTCCACTTCAGCCTTCTGAGTAACCAGAACTACAGATGCGTGCTATCATGCCCGGCTATTTTTATTTTTTATTGTAGAGATGAGGTCTCGCCAAGTTGTCTGGTCTGGTCTCGAACCTGCATGCTCAGGTAATCCACTTGCCTCAGCCTCCCAAAGTGCTGGGTTTACAGGTTGAGCCACCGAGCCCAGCCTGGCGGAAGGTAGATTTCAATCCCTCAGCAGGAAGCCAACACCATCCAAGTTTGTGACTATGCAACCACACTTAGCTTCTCAATGAAGAGAGGTATAAAGGTTAGGGCTTTTCTCCTTCCAAGAATATGCTTGTATGGAATGCCAGTGGAATCAAGTCTTTTTAGAGCTCAGTAACTCTAAAAACTCAAGGAGAGCAGAGGGTCTGGCAAAAGCCATGGTAAATATACAGTATACCTATGCCTCCTGCCTATACTCATAGCAGACATTACTAGTCAACCACAGCACCATGGAGTGAGGATTCACTATCCTTTCCCAGCATAAACTACAGTTGACACTCTGGATGAAAATCATTTGCTCCCTGCCTCACTGTGATTATAACTGAGTCACTTCTATCTCATCCCTTCCTCATGAAGAACTGTAGCAACTTCAAGTAGTGGAATAGGATTGTCAAAGGCATCATTCAGGTAGGACTGTGTCTGGAGCACCTGTGTTTGATATTTCTTCTGCATCACTGCAGATCCTTGGTTCAGACGCTCACAATTCTAAGCCAGTACAACCGGATCATGTCTATCCCTGAGTCTGTGTCCTCCAGTCTCTTCTTTCCTGCCATGGACTCTTTCAGAGAGCTTCCTGGACTTACACATGCCCAGTCCCCAAGTGTGGAGGGATTAGCTTGTGGGGCTACCCTTGACCCAGGGGTGATAGGAGCTAGTAGGGAAATGCCTCCCCTTTCATTCTTCAGGACAGTTCTGAGGTACATTTCATAAGGCTTTATGGAACATGCTGGTAGCATTGACCATTGGCCACCTTGCCACCTGTCCTGGTGGCCTTCCTCACTCCCTGTTCTCTTATCTTACCCCTCATTCCTACTCCCATGTGAACTACCTGCACCCCGACATTTGTCTCAGGCTCTGTTTCCAGGTTGCGGGGGACACCTGGTCCCCCCTCCAACTCCTCCTACTGCATCCTCTCTCCCCTGTGTTTGGAGTGGGAGCCATTTCTACCCTGTGTCCCATCCTGCCTCTGACAGTCCTCTCTCCTAAATCAACCACCCGTTGTGTCCATATCGTGTTCCATAGGTGACAAGGGACATTCCCAAGCACGGGCTCATTTTGAGCTACACAGTGAGCATCAGGGTCGGGCAGGTGAGGTTGCTAGTACGATTCTGTCTAGACGAGGAAACTCAAGTTCAACGCCCGCCCTGGGGTCATACGGCTGGTAAATGGTCCAGACCCAAGGCCATCCTGGGTACTCCAGCTCTGGCCCAAATCTCCTCCCATCAGCCTCTGAAAAGCACAGCCAGTGGGAAGCTCCTCTGACTGTCAGTTTCCAGCTGTTCACGTCCATAAATGCTGTGGTGAACCGAAGAGCCCTCCTCTCCTGTCCTCTCTTCCTTGCAGAAGCAAACATGTCCTCATCCTCCTTGGTGCCGTGCTGCTCCTGGCATCTTTCACGGTCACTGCTCTGCTCACTCTGGCTTATAAACTGCCTGTGGCGGCTCCGTCAGAAGCCAGGTAAGGCGGCTGGCTGCTCACCTGGCCTCTCTGGCCCTTCTTCCCCCCTGACCCCCTGACCCACCTCCCCGCTCACAGCATGGACCTCCCAGGGACGGTGGTCTAATGCCAGGTTGTCCACTTCGTGCCCACCAGCTTGGGCAAAAACTGGAAGGGAAATTTTCGGTCTGGATGGGAAAGTTCTGGCCTTTTTGCTTCCAAACTTCTGAACCTTTCAGGGTCTCTCTGAACTCCCCTTGCCCTTTGAAATGCCTCTGGGAGGGAAGGGGTGCCCCCACGTGGCTGCATTGGGGTTCTCCTCCAGTGGCAAAGCGCTGCTGGGAAACTGACGAGAGACCCAACCTTTAGGGAGTTGGGGTTACCTCTTCAAGGTCACACAGCTAGTCGGTGGCGTAGGTGTGATTTGAACCTTACCCACAATGCTGTTCTGCCTCCCTGAAGAGGTAGGCTTGACGATTCTTCCTTATAATAACCCTATGCATGATACTCAGGAAATACTGGCATGATGACTGCTGGTCTAGGCGGGGGACCCCACAAAAACCCGGAATTATTTTTTGGAGGGCACGCCCCTTGTGGTACAGGCTTCCCTCGCGAGGTAAGTGGTCTAGGAACCCACTGGCATCAGCGTGCCAGCCAGTGTTGTTGTGAGAAGCTGCATTTGGCTTCAGTGAATTTCTTTTTGGAGATTATTGCAGCGTGTTTGCTCGTTTCACGATGGGTGATTCACAAGCGTGCCTGCCCACACTGTGCTGAGTGTTCAGCAGTTTTGGGCCCAAAACGGCATAACCCCCGTCCCCACCCTCTTTATTCACCCAGTCTCGCCCCAAGAGACTTTTTTTGTTTCCCCGGATGAAAAAAGTCCTCAGAGGAAAGCAGCAGAAGCACTAAAAGGCATCAAAATCGACGAGTTCCAAAACCGTTTCGAGCGGTGGAAAAAGCGCCTCAATAGATGGATTGCATCAAACCGAGAGTACTTGGGTACACTATTGGCCACCACATTTTTAGAGCTGTCCTGACGTTTGTCAGCCGCCAGAAATGAAGGTGACTGAAGTTTAAACAGATCGGAATAGATACACAATTTTTTATAAATGAATTCTGTTTTTAAGGAGGTCCTCCCTCACATTCTCAATACAGCAGCCAGACCGACACAAACAAAAAGCACATCATGCCAGTCATCTGCTCAAATTCCTCCAGTGGCCATCTGGCCTCACCCCTTCTACCTGCAGACTCCAATCACACTAGACTCCTCACCTCAGCACCCCAAGCATACTCCCACCTCAGGACTTATGAATCTGCTGCTCCTTCGGCCTGGAAGGCTCTTCCTTAGAATCTAACATCTTGGCAGGACTTTCTCCATCACATCTTTTTTGTGTATGTGTTGGAGCGTCACTCTGTTGCCCAGTCTGGAGTGCAGTGACACACTCATGGCCACCCCAGTGCCAAACTGCTGGGCTCAGGCGATCCTTCTGCCTCAGCCTTCCAAGTAGCCAGAACTAGGGGAACACGCCACCACACCCAGCGAATTGTTTTGGATTATAATAGAGATGAGGTCTTGCCAAGGTGCCCAGGCTGTTTTCAAACCCGTGGGCTCAGACAGTCCCCTCACCTCGGCCTCCCAAAGTGCTGGGATTACAGGCTTGAGCCACCAGACCTGGCCTCTCCATCACGTCTTTCATGTGTCTGTGCAAATGTCACCAGATCAGAGCAGGCTTTGCCGACCTCCCAAAATAAAACATCCCAGAACTGTGCCCATCACACAAGTGCTGCATATGTATTTGGAGTGAGTGGAACATGGGAATGAACAAATGGATCAGTGACTACGGCTCAAGCCTTCTGACCAGGAGAGCGCCATGCCCTTCCATGTCATCTGCCTTTGTGGACATGAACGGTGATCAAGAAGGAGCCCCTCTCTGTTTAGCCCAGTGGCTCTCCACCTTGGCTGCACATAAGAGTCACTTGGGGAGGTTTTAAATCCCATGGATGCTTCTGTTCCACCTCTGATGGACTGAATCAGAATCTTTGGGGGCGGAGCTTAGGCAACCGGCTTTTGTAAGAGGCCCTGGGGTATTCGAATGTGCAGCCAGGGTCGAAGAACCAAGTATTCAGTTCTCAAAAAACTTTCCCTCTTCTGATAGTCTCTACACGGACAGTTGGGGGATTCAGAGCCGAGAGTGCTTTTGGCTTGGGTGGGCAACAGCGATACATTTAAATCAGGGGTTCTCAATCTAGGCTGTCTTTCAGAAGCCCAGGGGAGCTTTAAAAATTCTAATCCTGGTCAGACTTGGTGGCTCAGCCTGTAATCCCAGCACTTTGGGAGGCCGAGACGAGTGGATTGCCTGAGCCTGCAGGTTCAAGACCAGCCTGGGCAACTTGATGAGACTTCGTCTCTACAATCAAAAAAAAAAAAAAATTAGCCGGGCATGGTAGCGCGTGCCTGTAGTTCTGGTTACTTGGAAGGCTGAGGTGGAAGGACCACCAGACCCTAGCAGGTCGACGCTGGGATGGTCGTAAGTGTGCCACTGCGCGCCAGCCTGGGTGATGGAGTGAGATGCCAACTTAAAAGAAACAAAATTATAATCCCTGGTACCCCCATCCAGAGAGGATGATTCAGGCTTGGGTACAACCTGGACATCTCCTGTGAAGGACACTCTTTAGACAGTGCTTCTTAGCTTGATGGGGCACCAGGATCACCTGGCGGGCTGATGAAAACACGATGGTGGGCAACCCTCTCAGGTCCCCTCCCACTATGGGAGCTTTCCTGTTCTCTCAATACATCCTGCTTTCAAAAAAAGAAAAAAAAGAAAAAGAAAACAGTGGTGCCCACTGCCAAAGTTTCCTATACAGTAGGTCTGGTGTGGGGCCCATGAATTTGGGTGCCTAAGATGTTCTCAGACAATGAGGCTGTAGGTGTCAGGGACCATACCTTGAAAACCACAGCTTCAAAGATACTCCTTGGCATCCTCTCAATTGCTTGGCTTGGACCACTAGGAACTTCTCTCTCTGGACAGTCTCTGTCCTTGAGGGCCTTGGGAACACCTTTGGGCACCACAGTTTTAGAGCTGTCCTGACGTATCAGACACCAGAAATGACTATTGAACACGAACACAGATATCACATTTCTCAAGGACCCAGGGAAGAGGTCTGAGGGAGTTGGGAATCTGAGCCAGCCAGCTTTGGCCAAGGCGGGAGTGTGAGGTCACTGTGTGCATTGTTACTGAGGAAATGAACAGTGCACTTTTTTTTTTTTTTTTTTTTTTTT